CTTTAAGCTGAATTCATTTATTAAGGTGCTGCCTTGCTCTGCTTGGCACTACGCAGCAGCTGACAGCTTCTCCATTCTTTACTTTAAGCGTCTCTCATTCCTGCGCACGAGAGAAAGAGGAAACTTCGAACTTGGTTTCAGGAGTTATTTCTTTGAATCTTTTTAGGAGCGCTGCATTCATAACTTTCACATCTTCCCGCCTGGGCTGACACAGCTGCCTTTCTGTACATTTAGTGCTCGGGGTGTTGCTTTTCCTACCTTCTTTTTCCCTCTTCCCCTTTTTTATAGTTCGTTGATTTTTCTTCTATCTGTCTCTTCGTTCCGAAAAGTTTTTTGAATTGAATGTAACTACAACTTACGGATTAGCTCACTTTTTCACTCACTGAACTTCCTCAGTAAGTTGTGGCTAGAGCACATTCTGTAACCGTTGCATTTTTTTTTTTTCTTACTGAAAGAGGAAAAATCTCAAGATTTTCATGCATCAGAATTCATCACACTAAGATAGGGATAATCAGAGTTCTTCCAGACCCGTTGCTGTTGAAGTTAGGATGATTGTTTGGTACCAGTATGTAACTGGACGCTTTAAACAATAGGGATGTTGCGCCATTTAGAATTTATGTGTATTTTTCCTTTTTTTTTTAGCAAAAAACATGCGATTTAAATACGGCGGTGTTTTACCTGAAAAAGCAATTTTGGGGTTGTGGAATGCGCTGAAATCTTGCTCACTAATCCCGAAGATGATTCAGCTTGAGGCAGATCAAGTTGGTATTTTTCTCAAAATCTGACAATGCAAACACTGAAGAGTTGCAGATGAACATTAGAAGGGAACCTGAAATAGCTTCGGGGAACTCGGTCAATGTTCCGGCCTTCTTTGATAGTATTAGAGCGCTATTATTTATGTTCATAATCACTGGAACTCCACACAGATTCAGTACAAATTTTTCGTAGTGTCCTCGAAAGTGGCGCGCGTTTTCTTGCACTCTTATTTGGGCAGTGATTGATCAGCTGGTGTGCCATTTTTATTTTGAAAAGTTAACGACTTGATTACTTGTTGTTGGCTTATTGCCCCCTCTGGGCCTGCTTAACTAGTACTGTTTTAGATGAAAGAAAAATTGAGCCAGCGTCAATTTCCTGCTTCTCCGGAAGAAGTTCAGGAAGCACGCTTGAAAATCAGAGAAGCGCTGGAGGCGGAAAGCGGTTTGCCTGCTCAGAATGCTGTCAACCAGAAAGTTGTTAGTCTTTTGTCAGTGTAGCAATTCTGCTCTGGTCATGTGTGCTCATTTATTTTGTTTCCTATCTTAATACATTCGAATCTGCGCCTGAATTATCAAAATCGGTCAACCAGGCGTTTCTTAAACTCGGCTTTCAGCATGTACTAGGCAAGTTTCGGTGATTTGAAGAGCGATCGGACTTGGTACCTCGACCAAGATGG